AAGAGGTGTGGAGGGAAACGTGGATCCGGCTCACACACACTCCTTCACTCGTGTGTGGACACAACAGCACTGCTTCTGTCTTTCGTCCCTCTGCCCTCTTGCCGCCCCGCGCATTCGGTGGGAGGGCGGCAGCGGACAAACACGCCGCCATCGCCACCCTGCATCGCGTCCGTCACTCGGCGTTGTGCACTGTGCCTCTGCCTGCTCCGCCTGCTTGGCTCCGCCCCACTCGGCGGCTTTATCTTCGTCCTGGCGCGTCCCCGCACTGTGAGGCGTTGCGCCGCGCACCCCCCAGCGAGTTAATTATAAGCGCACGCCCCGCCGCCGGCCCCGCCTCCCCCCACACGCAGCGGGGCGGGGAGTCCCGTCGGCGGGAGCGCGAGTAACACAAGAAACAGAGGGAAAAAGGGAAAAAGGGGGCGGGTGCTTCGATTTATATACATGCGGCCCGAAACGCCTGTTGCCAGATCGGCCGCTGCTTTCCGTCTTCTTCCACCGCCCCCTCGTCGATCGCATAGAGAGGCATACACACACGCACAGACACACACATACGCGCAGATAAAGATATACTTTTTTTGGTTTTTCGGTTTCTGTCGAGGTGTGCCTCAAAAAGATATTCATATAATTGATCATGCCCCCCCCCCTGTAAATCACATCCATGCATGCACGTTCACGAGCCAAGATCGGCACTTCAATCGTCATAATAAGTCAGATAACGCATAAGACCTGTGTATACTCAGATATAAATGTTTGCTTTTTTGTTACCGTATGTTTCTTTGGTCAGGTATGTATGTATATATGTGTATGTATGCATTGGTGCGTGTGTGTGCATCTCCCGTCTTCCGGTTGTGCCCAGCGCCTCCGAGGCTGGCAGTAACGGTGCGGCTACTGCTGCTGCTGCTGCGTCGACGCTTACGGGTCACAACCGCGCACTGTCGCTCCGTACACACACACACACACAGACATACATATATGCAGACCCGCAGCCTCAATCACTGTGATAAGTAAGGAGAGATAAATAGAGAGATACCGTCATTCCATTTGCTGTTGTTGTTGGCATTGGGGAGATTCATACTTGCTGCTCTCCTATTTTCCTCCTCCTCTTGGTTCTGCTTGTGCTGCTGTCTTCTTTAACTTCATTCGTTTGTTTTTGTTGTTGTTGTTTTTCCTTGTTTTCGAAGTCTCCCAGGATGACCCTACGACTACACCGCCGCGCTACAGTCATCGGCACCGCCGTTGATGTATAAAATATATATAGATGTATATATATGCCCACGGCCTCACCCACACAGAGTCGCAGTTACGTATGCGAATATTCCGCCAACTTCTCAGCCAACACAGTAATGAATGCAACCACCACCAAACCCCCCACCACCCACACACACACAGACAGAGGCGTGCATATACACAGTGAATGCAGTACAACGCCACTACGGCGCCACTCTAATCACAACAAGAGAGAGGGAGTATGTGCGTGGGTGTGTGTGTGTGTGTGTATGTATGTATGTGTGGGTGTGTGGGTGGGTATTATCCATCACCGCCCCCAGTACGTTCTTTTCAGCATATATACCTCGTCCACACAGGTTCTGGACAGCGAGAGAAATATAGATATCTACATGCATACATACATACATACACAGAGAGAGAGAGGGGAATATACACACCTATGCATGCGTGCATCGTACACACACACACGCATGCATGCAAGAACATGGTCGAGCAGTACACCAAGACTGAGTGACTCGATCATGTAGAGAACAAACAAAAAAGCCAAACGAAAGTGACACCACGTCTAAGAAGAGGTAGAGAGGTGTGTACGGGATATGAACAAAAACAAAGGAACTGCACCCGCATATCAATAAAAGAGCTCAATGAAAAAAAAGGCACGGCAATCCCAAACTGTGATACCACCACCACCACATACACAGTCAAGGAGGAATACACAACACACACACAGACACACAGACACGCATACGTGTTTTGCCTTCACTCCACGGCACCTCTTCGTGAGGAGAGTTGCGTGCCTGCCAATTGCCCGGGCGCATCTCTGCGTGTGTGTGGGTGTATGTGTCCGTGCATATACTTGCATGTCCGTGTAGAGAAGGGTGTGTGTATGTGTAAGGTCGAACCCATTTTTTTTTTGTTATTATTATTCACTGCCCCATTGGCGACGTCACGATTAGCGTCGGGAGGAGTGCAGGCGAGAGATACGCTGCTGCAAAGCCATGAAAAAGAAAAAGGAAAAATCGCGCAGAACACAAAGCTCAAACCAAATCAAAACACACACACAGAGAAACAAAAAAAACAATGTGTATCGAATGTGTGTTTTGATTTGTTGTTGTTTTTTTCCTTGTTGTTGTGTTGGTCCAGTGTTCGTCCGTATGTTCCGATTACGTCTAAACATACAGCACATAAAGCACATGCATACATACATCCGCACGTGTGCGTGCACATAGTCATGCGTCTATATATATATAGAAATACGTATAGTTGTATAGAGGCTAATATACATACACACACACATATATATATATAAGTATATATATGCACGCCTATGAATATACCACGCTTCAACACCTGCTGCCTCACGCAGACGGTGTTCATGCATATTTATACCCACACGCGTGCATAAATACTTGTGCATAATGCCGTACGTATCCATATGTATATATAAGTATATATATATGTATATCGTGTACCTATACGTACACACGTGGATGTATGTACAGTCCATGTCTCTGATGCATTTTACATTCACACCGAGTAGGGAGTGAGAGGAGTCACGGAAGAATGACCACAGGCATCCCCCGTGATGCCTCCGTGTTCTTCGCACTGATAAGATTTTCCCTCTCGTCTTCTTTTTTTTTTTCACCCTTCTGTTGTTTGTTTGATTGTTTCGGTCTTATTTGTTTTTCTTTTTGTTTTCGTGTGTGTGTGTGTGTCCTCACTTTTTTTTTTGTTCTTCGCTCTCGCTCCGCTCGCCTTGCCGTGGCATTATCACATTGGCCGCGTGGCGGGCCCTCCGCCGACACACACACACACACACACACAAAGGCGGCGGCGGCGAGGCGTATGAAGGCGCAAAATGACAGCAACGAAGTCAAAGGCAACGGACACAAACGAAAAGGAAAAGGGGGTGGTGGCGAAAAAGATGTTTGATTGTGTTCGTTGGATCATATGGAGCTGACGGCACTGTCTCTGTCTCTCCCACTCTCGCTCTCTCTCTTTGTTACCCCATGCCGACGTCAGCCTCTGACTGTTTATTTGGTTGCCCCGTCCAGTTGTTGTTTTTTTTTCTGTTTTTTTTTTGTTTTGTTTTTATTTTCTTTTCGTTTTGTTTTGTGTTTGTTTTTCTTTCGGCCATTA